AGTCCTTATACAAGTTAATTGGTTATCTCTATAGTTAATTTGGATCTATGTGAATATCTTTATAGTTGAGGGACCAAAGTGAAAATAAGTTTCAGATTTTATACCTTTATTAAATAGGCCAAATAGTTAATTATTGAAGGAGTTAGAATTACCCTATCAATATTGGGCTCATTTTGAAGCTTGTAATAAATGGCGAATTATGGACTCAAGAAAAATTTAATTTGGTCAAGTTAAACTCGAGTTATAACCAATTAAGAAAACTACTTAGTTAATAATATTAGTTATTAATTCGAGCTAAATTACTATATCAATATTGGACTCCTTTGATAGATAATAATTAATTATATATATTAGGATTAGGAAAATGATATTTTGGATAAGTTGAATTAAGATGGAATCAATGGAAGAATCAAGGTATAAATGAAATTCTAATTTATTTACTATCCATACAATTTGCAATTCTCGGCCATTAGGAATAAAATATGTTAAGTATTGATAATTATAAAATTTAAAGATAATTGATTAAAACTTAATCATAATAATTTTCCAGAAACTATTAAATTCCTTTATAATGCTAATCTACTTTAACTAGGATAGAAACTATTGTTCTTAATCATGTAGGATTCGGATTATGATGAAGTTTCCTAGTAATTTTAGTGTTAAAATAATTAGGACTTCAATTAATTAAACTAGTTAAGTTATTTCATTTGAAACACTCTTCCATTATTTTGATTTAATCGAAGACAAGAGAGTAATTATTTATCTATTTAAGTTGTTTTATTAGAATAAAATATGTATTGCCCATGCAATTAGGGGGCCGATTTGTCTTACCCTTCCACGTGTGCAAAGGTCATACAATTATAATGCCTCTTTATCGTTTCCTTGATGAAATTGCAGTTGATACGAAACTTGGCAAAATACAATAAGAAGCCACCGATCAGTTTAATATCAAATAAATTTGTGGGATGTGAGCATGGTCATTTAATGGATTATCTAGTTTAATTTAAATAGTAAACAAACCCTTTCATTTATTTTAATGATATTATAACTAATTTAATATTATTCCCATCCAAAGTCAATCACTAATTCATATAAAAACTCCATCTTTACTAGGCCAGTGTTTAGGCAGTCACGTGTGTAGATAAGTATGGCATGACAATCGAGATAAATTCAAAGTTTGTTTGATATAGTTTGATTAAATACGGTCTAAATGAAGTGATTAATTTCTACAAAACTCTTCGGTTAATTCATTATAAATAGAGGTGAGACGCGTTATTATCTCATATCATTATTCATCCCAGTAATTCTTTAGATTTGATCTGTCTCTATTCCTCTATAAAATATTTATTTTTGCAAAGAAGAGAAAGAAAACATTAAATCTTTGAATATACAATCAAGAATCTCGTTTCCCTGCAATTTTGCTCCACACAATTCATTACGTAAGGTGAGATGCTCAGTGCTATTAGTGGTTTGTCCACATTTTTTCAAATACGTTGTTATGTATGGATTTAATTACTTCAGTTCAGAGCTCCTTTGGGAGAAATCATGATACAGTTTAAGGCACAATTTAGCCTTCACGTTATTTGCAGCGCTTGCTTGAATTATCATTTGTCATGGTGTGATAATTCTCATGTTATGTTGGTAAGAGAATTTATGCATAATTTCACGTTTGATTTGAATGTGGAGTAGCAAGCATCTCATTGAGTATAATTCGTTATACTCATCCCTCTCTATTTAAAATTTTCAGGTAGAAATTAGTATGCTGGACGGCGGTGGATGGATGCATATTGGACCAATGGATCTCCTTCATGAAGTACTTTAATTTTTAGAAACACTAGAATATTTAATAACAGTTGATTATTATTATTTTTATATTTAGACTCAATTGTGAGTCACGTCATAACTTTCAATTAGTCCTATTTTATTATTTGTTAGAACTACTTTTATTAATGTTTGATAAAAGATATGATTCCAAATTGTTCCGCATATGTTATTTAATTTAATTTACCTTTTGTTAAGGTTGTTCAATTTTTACTGAATTCCTCATTATATTAAAATGTATTTGCCTCAAGCACTTTATCAATCAATTCACGTTTGGTAACGTTCCGGGTTGCTAAAGAATTCGGGGCGTTACATGTTCGTTTTTGGCGAATTGCTAGTCTAATTTGATTGGAATCGAGCCAATGAAACGTGGTTTTGGATTTCATGATAACTTCTGGTTTGTTCGTTTTTGCCGAATTGCTAGTCTAATTCGATTGGAATAAAGACAATGAAATGCGGTTTTCGATTTCATGATAACAAATAACTTTAGGTTTGTTCAATTTTGGCAAATTGCTAGTCTAATTTGATTGGAATCGTGCCTGTGAAAAGTGGCTTTTGATTTCATGATAACTTTGGGTTTTTTTTGGTTTTGGCAAATTGCTAGACTAATTCGATTGGAATCGAGCCAATGCAATGTGGTTTTCGATTTCATGATAACTTCAGGTTTGTTCCTTTATAGCGAGTTGGTAGTCCAATTGGATTGGAATCGAGCCAATGAAACGTGGTTTTCGATTTCATGGTAACTTCGTGTTCGTTCATTTTTGGGGAATTGCTAGTCTAATTCGATTGGAATGGAGCGAATGAAAAGTGGGTTTTGATTTCATGATAACTTTGAGTTCATCCATTTTGGCGAATTACGAGTCTAATTCGATTGGAATCGAGCAAATGAAAAGTTGCTTTTGACTTCTTGATATCTTTGGGTTTGTTCGTTTTCGCGAATTGCTAGTCTAATTCGATTCGAATCGAGCCAATGAAAAGTGGCTCTTGATTTCATGATAACTTAGGGTTTATTAATTTTTGGCGAAATGCTACTCTAATTCGATTGGAATCGAGCCAATGAAATGTATTTTCGATTTCATGATAAGAAATAACTTCGGGTTTGTTTATTTTTGTCGAATTGCTAATCTAATTCGAGTGGAATCATGCCAATTAAAAGTGGTTTTCGATTTCATGATAACTTCGGGTTTTTTTGTTTTTTGCGAATTGCTATTGTAATTCGATTGGAATCGACCCAATGTAATGTGCTTTTAATTTCATGATAACTTCGGGTTTGTTCATTTTTAGCGAATTGCTTGTCTAATTCGATTGGAATCGAGCCAATGAAATGTGGTTTTCGATTTCATGATGACTTCGTGTTTGTTCGTTTTTAGCGAATTGCTAGTCTAATTTGATTGGAATCGAGCCAATGAAATGTGGTTTTTGATTTCATGATAACTTTGTGTTTGTTCTTTTTGGCAAATTATTAGTCTGATTCGATTGGAATGGACCGAATGAAAAGTGGGTTTTGATTTCATGATAACTTTGGGTTTATTCTACTTCGATTTGAATCGAGCAAATGAAAAGTGACTTTTGATTTCTTGATAACTTCAGGTTTGTTCGTTTTCGCGAATTGCTAGTCTAATTCAATTCGAATCGAGCCAATGAAAAGTGGCTTTTGATTTCATGATAACTTCGAGTTTGTTCATTTTTGGCGAATTGCTAATCTAAATGGAATGGAATCGAGCCAATGAAATGTGGCTTTTGATTTCTTGATAACTTCAGGTTTGGTCGGCTCTGGAAAATTTCTAGTTTAATTTGATTGGAATCGAACTAATGAAAAGTGGTTTTTGATTTTAGGATAACTTCGGGTTTGTTCATTTCTGGAGAACGGCTAGTCTAATTCGATTGGAATCAAACGAATGAAAAGTGGTTTTTGATTTCATAATAACTTCGCGTTTGTTCATTTTTGGCAAATTGCTAGTTTAATTCGATTGGAATCGAGTCCATGAAATGTGGTTTTCGATTTCATGATAACAAATAACTTCGGGTTTGATCGTTTTTAGCGAATTGCTAGTCTAATTCGATTGGAATCGAGCTAATTAAAAGTGGCTTTCAATTTCGTGATAACTTTGGGTTTTTTCGTTTTTTGAGAATTGCTAGTGTAATTCGATTGGAATCGACCCAATGTAATGTGCTTTTGATTTCATGATAACTTCGGGTTTGTTCATTTTTAGCAAATTGCTAGTCTAATTAGATTGGAATCGAGCCAATGAAATGTGGTTTTCGATTTCATGATAACTTCGTGTTTGTTCATTTTTAGCGAATTGCCAGTCTAATTCGATTGGAATCAACCTAATGTAATGTGGTTTTTGATTTCTTGATAACTTCGAGTTTGTTCGTTTTTGGCAAATTGCTAGTCTAATTAGATTGGAATCGAGCCAATGGAATGTGGTTTTCGATTTTATGATAACTTTAGGTGTGTTCGGTTTTGACGAATTGCTAGTCTAATTCGATTGGAATCGACCCAATGAAATGTTTTTTTTAATTTCATGATAACTTCGGGTTTTTTCATTTTTGGCGAATCGCTAGTCTAATTCGATTGGAATCGAGCCAATGAAATGTGGTTTTCAATTTCAAGATAACTTCGGGTTTGTTGTTTTTAACGAATTGCAAGTCTAATTCAATTGGAATCGAGCATTAAATGTGTTTTTAGATTTCATGATAACTTTGGGTTTTTTCATTTTTTGCGCATTATTAATGCAATTCGTTTGGAATCGAGCCAATGAAAAGTGGTTTTTGATCTCATGATAACTTCGAATTTGTTCGTTTTTGGCGAATAGCTTTCTAATTCGATTGGAATCGAGCGAAAGAGAAGTGGTTTTTGATTTCATGATAACTTCGTGTTTGTTCATTTTTGGTAAATAGCTAGTCTAATTGGATTGGAATCGAACCAGTGAAAAGTGGCTTTTGATTTCATGATAACTTCGGGTTTTTTTGGTTTTGGCAAATTGGTAGTCTAATTCGATTGGAATCGAGCTCCTGAAAGGTACCTTTTGATTTCATGATAACTTCGGGTAGGTTCGTTTTCGGCAAATTGTTAGTCTAATTCGATTGGAATCGAGCCAATGAAATGTGGTTTTCGATTTCTTGATAACTTCGAGTTTGTTCGTTTTTGACGAATTGCTAATCTAACTGGAATGGAATCGAGCCAATGAAATGTGGCTTTTGATTTCTTGATAACTTCAGGTTTGGTCATGTTTGGAAAATTTCTAGTCTAATTCGATTGGAATCGAACGAACGAAAATTAGTTTTTGATTTCAGGATAACTTCGGGTTTGTTCATTTCTGGAGAATGGCTAGTCTAATTTGATTAGAATCGAACGAATGAAAAGAGGTTTTTGATTTCACGATAACTTCGAGTTTGTTCATTTTTGAAAAATTGCTAGTCTAATTCGATTGGAATCGAGCCAATGAAATGTGGCTTTTGATTTTATGATAACTTCGGGTTTGTTCGGTTTTGGCGAATTGCTTGTCTAATTCGATTGGAATCGACCCAATGAAATGTGGTTTTGGATTTCATGATAACTTCGGGTTTGTTCATTTTTGGGGAATTGCTAGTCTAATTCGATTGGAATCGTGTGAACGAAATGCGGTTTTTGATTTCGTGATAACGAATAACTTCGGGTTTGTTTAGTTTTGGCGTATTGCTAGTCTAATTCTATTGGAATCGAGCCTGTGAAAAGTGGCTTTTGATTTCAAGATAACTTCGGGTTTTTAGGTTTTGGCAAATTGGTAGTCTAATTCGATTGGAATCGAGCCCCTGAAAAGTACCTTTTGACTTCATGATAACTTCGGGTGGGTTCATTTTCGGCAAATTATTAGTCTAATTCGATTGGAATCGAGCCAATGAAATGTGGTTTTCGATTTCTTGATAACTTCGAGTTTGTTCGTTTTTGACGAATTGCTAATCTAACTGGAATGGAATCGAGCCAATGAAATGTGGCTTTTGATTTCTTGATAACTTCAGGTTTGGTCATCTTTGGAAAATTTCTAGTCTAATTCGATTGGAATCGAACGAATGAAAAGTGGTTTTTCATTTCAGGATAACTTCGGGTTTGTTCATTTCTGGAGAATGGCTAGTCTAATTCGATTGGAATCGAACGAATGAAAAGAGGTTTTTGATTTCACGATAACTTCGAGTTTGTTCATTTTTGACAAATTGCTAGTCTAATTCGATTGGAATCGAGCCAATGAAATGTGGTTTTCGATTTTATGATAACTTCAGGTTTGTTTGGCTTTGGCGAATTGCTTGTCTAATTCGATTGGAATCAACCCAATGAAATGTGTTTTTGATTTCATGATAACTTCGAGTTTGTTCATTTTTGGCGAATCGCTAGTCTAATTCGATTGGAATCGAGTCAATGAAAAGTGGTTTTCGATTTCATTATAACTCGGGTATGTTCGTTTCTGGCGAATTTTCGGTCTAATTCGATTAGAATCAATCCAATGTAATGTGGTATTTGATTTCTTGATAACTTCGAGTTTTTTCATTTTTGACAAATTGCTAGTCTAATTCGATTAGAATCGAGCCAATGAAATGTGGCTTTCAATTTTATGATAACTTCGGGTTTGTTCATTTTTGACAAATTGCTAGTCTAATTCGATTGGAATCGACCCAATGAAATGTGGCTTTCGATTTTATGATAACTTCGGGTTTGTTCGGTTTAGGCGAATAGCTAGTCTAATTCGACTGGAATCGACCCAATGAAATGTGGTTTTGGATTTCATGATAACTTCGGGTTTGTTCGTTTTTGGCGAATCACTAGTCTAATTCGATTGGAATTGAGCCAATAAAATGTGGTTTTTGATTTCATGATAACTTCGGGTTTGTTCGTTTTTGGCGAATCACTAGTCTAATTCGATTGGAATCGAGCCAATAAAATGTGGTTTTCGATTTCAAGATAACTTCGGGTTTGTTCATTTTTAACGAATTGCTAGTCTAATTCGATTGGAATCGAGCATTAAATGTGGTTTTTGATTTCATGATAACTTCGAGTTTTTTCATTTTTTGTGCATTATTAATGCAATTCGATTGGAATCGAGCCAATGAAAATTGGTTTTTGATTTCATGATAACTTCGAGTTTGTTCGTTTTTGGCGAATAGCTTTCTAAATTGATTGGAATCGAACAAATGAGAAGTGGTTTTTGATTTCATTATAACTTCGTGTTTGTTCATTTTT